AGAGTGCTAGGATTACAGGCGTGGCCACCGCGCCCAGCCCCAGTCATTTTTCTGACTCCACTGCCACCATACTTGTCTAGGCCGCCTTGATATCTTCCTTCTATTACTGCGGTAGCTTCCTAACTCATCTCTCTGCTTTTCCTATTTCTGCCGTCCACTCTCCACCACGGAGCCAGACTGACCTTAGAAAAACATCCCAGCTCCTTTCATTGCCCTGCTTTAGTGATTTTCCTTTGCACTTAAAACAAAATTCCTGCTCCTGGTGACGGCACTCTCAAGGGCTATGTATAGTTGGTTTCCGCTGCCTCTCTAGCATTGTCTTAATTTGCACCCCCTCACTCCCCATGTTGTATGCACACTGGCCTGCCTTTTTATTCTTGGCCTCATCAAGGTACATCTTACCTCGGGGCCTTTGCACGTGCCCGTCCCTGTGTGTGGAACACATATAGCTGGTTCCTTCTGATCCATCAGGTATCATTTCAAATACCACTTCCTTGGAGGCCTATTGTGACCATCCTATTTTATATAAACCCCTGGTTACTTTATCACATTAACTTTATTTTCTTATCTTATTTGTTTATTGATTGCCCCTCTTGCTGTTCACACAAACTCTCAGATGTAGGTTTCACAAAGGCAGGGACTTCATATTCTTATTTGTTTTTTCTTTTTTAATTTTTTTTCGTGTGTACCAGTCACACAGGGACTTCATATTCTTGTTCACTGCTAATATCTGCACCTAGCAGAGTGTCTGAAGCTCATTAGGTCCTCAGATATTTCTTGAATGAATGAGTCCTGTCCTTTGCTAAATCCTTTTCTTATTAATCCTATGCTCTGCATTAAGTGGAATGAAATATGTTTGGTTTTCTCTGTCTAGTCTGAATTCTTGGAATCTCCCAGTTGGTGACAGACGTGATGTTCTACCGGTTGCTATCGATTGTCCAAAGACAAAGAACCAGCCCCGGATGGCAGAATTGGTCCTCAGCAAGAAGCAGTGCGTCAGTTGCCAAGGCGCATTCTATTGCCCTGCCCACCCAGACACAGGTGGTCATCTGTGGGGGTGGAGTCATGGGCACATCCGTGGCCTATCACCTCTCCAAAATGGGGTGGAAGGATATTGTCCTTCTGGAGCAGGGCAGGTAAGGATCAAACTGGACTTGGCCTGTGGCTGTGCTATGCTAATTTTTTTTTTGCAGAGACGGTGTCTCACTATGTTGCCCAGACCTGCCCCGAACTACTGGCCTCAAGCAATCCTCCTGCCTCGACCTCCCAAAGCGCTGAGATTATAGGCGTGAGCCACCGTGCCCTGCCTGTGCTGCGCTAATTGTATAAGATTCTCTCATTCCCTCTCCTTGTGGTGAGACTACTGTTCCACTGATAGCTGATCTAAATGTTGCTAAGTATTAAATAGCATGAAAAGAATCAAAGTGGTATCTCCTGTACTTTGTTTAGTGATGCCTAACAACGCTTGTGTTTTCTGGTAGTTAGAGAGGGGCGAGATTTCAATAAAACAAGTGTCTTGACAGGCTGGAGTTCAGGTTCACAGCGCGCCTTATCTTGCTTGGTTGTCACCATGCAACAGTGTGAATCCCTTGGCTCAGGAGCTCCCTCTCTGAGCCACAATGAGAGTGGCTACATTCTGCCTGGACTTCTGCTACTTTTTGCATTATTTTAGAACAGTTTTAAATTTACAGATAAGTTGTGAAGATAGTGTAGAGTTCCCATATACCCCACACCCACTTTCACCTGTTGTTAATATCTTATATTACTATGAATGTTTCATATAAAGTTCACATTCTTTTGGATTTTTTTCACTTTTCCCCTAATTTCCTTTTTCTACACCATGATCCCATCTAGGATAGCACATTACATTTAGTTGTCATAGCTCCTTAGGCTCCTCTTGGCAGTGACAGTTTCTCAACTTTCCTTGTTTTGGGCAACCTTGAGGCTTTTTTTAAAAAAACAAGAGAAAAACATGACAAATTTATTATGTGCACTGTGTGCTGCATGGGAGTCATACAGAACATGAAAACTGCTTTTTTTTTCTTTATATGAAAACACTGACCTTGAAGCTTTGAGTTTTCTGTAACATTTTAGACTTTTTTTTTTTTTTTTTTTTTAAAGAGACAGAGTCTTACTATGGTGCACAGGCTGGACTCCTGGGCTCAAGTGATCCTTCTGCCTCAGCCTCCCAAGTAGCTGGGACTACAGGTGCGAGTCACCATGCCTGGCAACATTTTAGACTTCGACAAGAATTTGTGCTTGTGAAATAAAATGGATTTCATTTAAGCAAAGCAGACAACTGCCTGTTTTCACCTAAAGTGCTGGGTTCTTACATTGCTCTCTTCCCCACAGTGCTGGGATTATAGGCATGAGCCACTGCACCCAGCCAATAATTTATTTTGAAATAATTTCACTTCACAACTGTGCACTATATCCATGTAGCAAAACTATACTTGTATCCTCTGAATCTATAATAATTTTTAAAAATTAATTTAAAAAGAAATAACTTCAAATTTCACAAAAGAGCTGCAAGGACAGCACAACGAACTTCCATTTTACCCAGATCCCTCTAATGCCCCTGTTCCATCACCCCGTCTCTATTGTGTGTGGATGGATATAGACACACACAGCCATCCGTGCATAGGTGCCCATGGTCATTGGTATTTTTCTGACCATTTCTGTAGCTTACAGACCTGAGGCCCCATCACCTCCAAGCATTTCAGAGTGTACATTCCAGAAAAGCAACAGCACCTTCCTATAGAACTACCATACAACCCTCCACATCAGGAAGACCTGGATACGAAACTACCATCAGATTCATAGACTTCAGTCCGATTTTGTCCACCATCCCAATAGTGTCTCTCTTTCCTTTCTGATCCAGGATCCTGCCCAGGAATATGAGTTATGTTTGGTTGTCATGTATCTTCAGTCCTTCCTTATCCCTCATGTCCATGACAGTTTTAAAGAGATTAGGCCTCTCACTCTGTGGGATAATCCTCAACCTGGGTTCAGCTGATGTTTGCTTATGATCAGACTCAGGTCAGACGTTTTTAAAAAGTAGCTGTGTTGAGATAAAAAATAATTTGCCTACCCTACCAGTCATCCTTGTTAAGTATACCATCAGTGGCCTTCAGTCTGTTCACAGAGTTGTGCAACTGTCCTCACAACCAGGACGTACATTTTTGGCAGGAAGACCACAGAAGTGCCAGGCTGTCTGCAGTGCACCCAGGAGGCCCATGGTTGGCGTGTCCTGCTTCTGGTGGTGATAACCCTGATCACCCAGTTACATTGGTGTCCTGCAAGCGTCTCTACCACAGAGTCACTCTTTCCCCCTTGTAGTGGACCAGTACCCTGTGAGGAGATGGATTTTCAGATTATGCCCATGTGCTGTTGGAATCAGACCTCCACCTACCAGGCTTAGGTGGTTGACATGATGGTTGACAAATGGCGATTTTTCTTTCCGTCATCCTTCCACATTTAGTTGGCTTTCTACTGTCGGGAAGAGCGCTCCCTCCTCCCCAGTTTATTTACTCAACTCCATATACATATTAGTCTGTCGGTTTAGACTTAGACTCCTGGATTTCTGCTTTATTTAGTGAGATACTTTTAAGAGCAAAAGTGGATGTTGTTGATAAATGGGACCAGCTTGTTAAACATGGACTTTCCCAGGCAAACTGGGATACTTGATCCCTTATGCCTGTGTTCTTAGTTGCCTTTTGAAGATAACTTTAGCTTCAAGTTCTGGTGGGGAGAGGCTTATTTCTTTGTACTTTTAGGATAAAGTAAGATAAGCATAGCCCTAGGCAGTGGATATCCTAATGGTGTGAAAAGTGGAGCTGGAAATAGAAGTAACTCATTCTGTTACATTTGTTCCATGTCAGGGAACTTCTTTGCTGCTACAAGTGAATCTTATCAGTCCACAAAGGTTACCACCTTTACTGATGCTCTTCTCTGTGCCAGGCCTTCAGCTTATCATTTATTCAATACATTTTAACGATCTTACTGAATGTGGGGTACTTCCTGTTCTTGATTACAGTATGTCAGGAAACCTGAATGCCATAGTAAATTAAGATACCTTTCAACCAGGGGAGCTCTGTGGCAAAGAGCAGCCTCAGTCTTCTCTTAGAATAACTGCTGTTCTCCAATATTTTACTTTTCCTGCTTCCTCTTTCATAATACTCATTTTCTTGCCTCTTGGGCCTAGAAAAACAGAACTATTATTTGCATGTGGGTTATCAGTTCTGGGGAAGTTTCTCTTAAGTTTATGAGTTGAGTGTAAATTTTCATAGTGCTTCCTTAATGTCAAAATGTTTCTCCTGTTTTTTGAAGTCCTTTTAAATTGTCAGGCATTTGCTAGCCATAGAAAGCAATAAATTCATCTCATTGTATATATTTCTAAGTGGGAGACCCTAAGGTCTTCATTTTTGGTTTAATTTGTTGCTCCAAGATAATATAATACCTTAGAGTTGACATAAGTAGGACTATTTGAGCCTGACTTTTAAAAGTAATTACGCCTTAGCTGAGCACGGTGGTTGGTGCACACCCGTAGTCTCAGCTACTCGGGAGGCTGAGCAGGAGGATCACATGAGCCCAGGAGTTAGAGGCTGCAGTGAGCTATGATTGCACCACTGCACTCTGGGCTACAGAGTGAGATCTCATCTCTAAGGAAAAAATTTTAAAAGAAATTGTGCCTCAACAATGGCTTATGAAATGGTTTTATACTTCCCTTCATTAAATAATTGTTCCTCTTCTCCATCTCTAGTATTGTCCTCCTCATAAATCAGTGGTTCTCAACTCTGGCTGCACATTAGAACCCCCCAGGGAGCTTTTAACAAATACCAACGCCTGGGCCTCTTCCCAGAACAAACCAGAATCTCTAGGGATGAGACCACATATCAGTATTTTTAAAATACCCAAGGGACTCTAATGTCCACCCAAGGGTAAGTGCCACCATCAGAGCTGCTTAAGGACTGCTGTCCCAGCAGATGTTGCCACAGCTGTCCGTCCATCAGCCAGGGTTAATGGAACTCCCAGGCACGGTAGCAGCTGCATACAGTGGCTGTACGTTAGTTACAAAAATGATAAAAATGTGTCTTAGAGAACTGACAATCTGATGTGGGAAATAGAATCATTAGAGTAAAACAGTAAACTCAAGCGACAGGAGAGCTGACACAGCTGGTGGTTTACTGAGTGCTAAATAATCGGAGAGAAATGACCTGCTTGCAACCCCACCCACTTTCTTGACTTATGGGGTCTCTCGCACAGCTGGGTGTTTGGGCCCAGCATTACCAGAGCTTTTTATGTTCTTTTGCCTACCACAAACTGGAGACATTTTTTTCACTTTAAATTTCATTTATTTTCAAATAGGCAATATATGATTCAGAATTGAAAATATGTAAAGGAGTGTACAAGGGAAAGTCTCCCTCCCTTACCTGACCTCTAACTACAAGTTTCCTTCTCTGGAGGCAAGTTAAGTTCCAGATACGTTCTGTACATACATAAGCAAATACATATTGGTAGGTATGTAGATGTGTGTATGGGTATTCATTTTTTTCCCCCTTTTTTGTACAGGTGGTAGCATACCTTAAACACTGTTCCTCGCCTTGCTTTTTTCATTATCATGGTTCCATATTGCTGCATAAAGAGCTTTCTCATTCTTTTTTTATAGTTACATAGTATTCCATTGTATAGATGAACTCCCAGATTTTAAGTCAGTCCCATGTCAATGAACATTTAGGTTGTTGCCATCTTTTCATATTACAAATAATACCATAATGAGAAACCTTGAACTTACATGAATCTACCTAATAGCATTTTGCATCCATCCTGCAGGTTGGCTGCCGGCTCTACAAGGTTCTGTGCTGGCATCCTGAGCACCGCCAGGCACTTGACCGTTGAGCAGAAGATGGCAGACTATTCAAACAAACTCTACCATCAGTTAGAGCAAGAAACAGGGATCCAAACAGGTAAGCAGTAATCTACCATTTACTGGTCTGCCTGTCCTCCCATACTCTTTTGCTCAGTACTGTATTTAGTCTTATACCTGCTTTGCCTGGCGATTTGGTAATTACGACTTGGGTTTTAGTCCAGACTCTGCCATCAGCCAGGGTGTTAACTTGAGCAAGTCACTCGGCTTGTTGAGCTGTCTTCAGTTTTCCTTTCCATAAAATGAGGTGATTCAATCAATATCCTAGATCCTTTTTGGATCTTATAATTCTTGTCATTATGTGAAAATTTTCCTGGGTCATTTCCTATGTATTTGACTCATTTAAGCATAGTAAATGGCAATACTTGACTCTTAAACAAACAAGAGGAGAAAAATCTTAAGTTTAGATGTTTGATAGTTAAATTGTAGTTTGAGCCATTAAACTTCACCAATTGTTATTAAATATATTTCTGATTATAAGGCAGAAACATATATTTTTTCTTATCTATATAATTAAAGGGAAAATGACACAGGGAATTATAAGTTAAATAGTACTAGAATAGCTAGGAACTGTTCCAAGAACAGGAAGACTAATCTGTACTGTGATCCCATGTGATAACAAGGTGGAGGGAAAGTCTGTCACTTTGCTGTAAGGTCAAAGATTAGCCAGAAGCCTGGAGTCAAGCCCAGTCTTAAGACCGATAGTTCATTTGTCTCACCCTAGTCCCTATTCTAGAAAGTCTAGTGACACCACTAGACTTTCTGTGGTGTCGTTGAACTTAACCAGGCTTCCTTTTGAGAACATGGTAAAAGTAGTTCTGCTACGCTGTCCTTGGCTTTTACTGGAGAAGATGCCTGTTTTCGGTTGGATTGAATTTGATGGCAACAAGGTGCTTGAATCAGGTTTCAACCAAGGTTTGAATCAGAAGAGGGTCCATAAAAGGGGCCAGAGATAGAGCAGTTGGCTCAGTTACTAGTGCTTTGCTGAGCCTTGCATGCATCAGAGGAATCAGAATCACAGGCTGCTTTAGGGCTAGAAGGTAGGTTAGCCCAGCGTTAGTTCGGGGTCACAGTCTGGAGCTCCTTATTTGGCCTGACTTTTCTTTGGTGCTTGTAGGGCAGTGAGGGGGGATGGGTAGCGGTGGGGAGCAGTGAGGAAGTCAAGCAAGGAAGTATAAAGGGGGTGGCCTGAAATCTATCACCCCATTGCAATATGCCAGTGGTGCCAGGAAAGATGACTGAGGGGGCATCAGCGATTGAGAATTCGCTGTTAACCATGGTCTATGATAATTTTTACTCAGTAGACTATTTTTGAATCATTAAATAAAGATGAAGAGACATATGTACAATCTGGATTTAATGAGAAGAGTACAGTCGTCCTTTGTTATCTGTGGGAGATTGGTGATTGGTTCCTGGACCCCCCCTTGGATGCAAAAATCTACAGATGCTCAAGTCTCTGATATAAACTGACGTAGTATTTGCATATAACCTACACACATCCTCCTGAATACTTTAACTCATCTCTAGATTACTTATAATACGTAATAAGGTACCTGCACATCACTTCATTAACATGGATTCCGTGTAGTACTTGGCACATGGCAAATTCAAGTTTTGCTTTTTGGGACTTTGGAATTTTTTTTCCCTGAATAATTTTGATCCTCAGTTGGTTGAATCCATGGTTGCAGAACCTACAGATACAGAGGGCTGACTATGTTATATGCTAATCCTCTACAAATAGTTCATCCAGGTGAAGGGTACATTAACTACTTTTTAATCCAAAATACTAGATCACTCCAAGATTCCTCATTCCTTGACCATGCTGAATATCAGTTTCTGCAGTGTTTCAGTTTATGTGTGATATAATTTTTGTCAGGTGAATGGAATGAATATCATCATCTAAAAGTGTTAATAATCTTTGGAAAGTATTCCTTATATTATTCGATCTTATAATAAGGAAGGGTTATTTTTTCACATATGAAGAAACTCAGATGTAGGGAGATTAAGCCAATTTTTCAGGTCATTGACAAATTGAGTTTAAAAAATTATTTAGTGGGTAAAAAAACTTTTTAAGCCAGGTGTGGTGGCACATACCTGTAGTTCCAACGACTTGGGTGACTGAGGTAGGAGGATCCCTTGAGCCCGGGAATTTGAGGCTGTAGTGTACTATGATTGCACCTGTGAATAGCCACTGCTCTTCGGCCTGGGCGACATAGTGAGACCCAGTCTCTAAGAAAAAAAGAAAAAAAAAAAATTCACAAAACTGTAAAAAAATGAAAATCTTTCCCTTTTTTGTATGTATATATAGGTATACTTTAACCAAAATATATTAAGGATGTTATATACCTTGTTTTTTCCACTTAAGAATGTTTTCTACAAAAAGATGTATGCACAAGATTATTTATTGTAGTGCTATTTAATTGTAAACATAGAATTGCAAACTTAAATGCCCAGACATGGAGATTGGCTGAATAAATGGGACATCCACACAGAAGACTACTAGGTAGGTGAAAAAAGAATGAGGAAGGTCTCTATGAACTGCTAATGGAGTGATTTCTGGGATACATTGTTAAGTGAGAAAAGCAAAGTGTTAAAGAGGGCATGTAATATGCTACTTTTGTGTAAGAAATAAGAAGAAATGAGAAAACCCGTATTCAAGGAAATGTAATCATCCTCCCAAAGGGTTGTATCCTCTCATCAGTAGTGTATGACAGTGCTTATTTCTTCATAGTTCTCTCAGCATTGCATATTATTTTAATTTTTGCTAATCTGAGAGATGGAAAGAGTTATCATATTCTAATTTACACCTCTTTTAATTAAAGATCACTTCATACGACTGACCATTTATATTAATATTTCTTCTTTGAATTGCTTTTTAATATTGTATGCTTTTTTTTTTCTTATTGATATGTAATAGTTCTATTTTATGACTCTTAACCTTTGACAAAGGAAATTATGAGCCAGAATTGCTGTAGTCCAAACCTTAAAAGTCCTCTGTGGGAAAATAGCAGAATTTTAATCTTGTTAATGGGTGGTATATTAAGTGTGTTATGATAGGTAGTTCTGTTTGGGGGAACATAATTTAACATAGTATAACATGATATATCATGTAGGTGCATGTACAATGCTACTCTGCTATATGTAGTCTTCGGTAGAGAGTAGAAAATAGCTGCTGGACCCTTTATCCATCTAAAGGTGAGATTCAGAGTGTGGCCCACAAATCACTCGCCAGGATTGCTGCACTAGGCTGGTTTATCTACTGCGTTTATTTTATTTTATGTTTGTGTGTGTGCGTGTGTGTGTGTGTGTGTGTGTTTGGTTTGGTTTGGATTTGAGACAAGGTCTCACTCTGTTGGCCCAGGCTAAAGTGCAGTGGCATCATTGCAACCTCAAACTCCTGGGCTTAAGGGATCCTTCTGCCTCACCCTCCCTAGTAGCTGAGACTACAGGCATGTACCACCACCTAGCTAATTTATTTTTTGTAGAGACGAGGTCTCCCTCTTGCCCAGGCTGGTCTCGAACTCCTGGCCTCAAGCAATCCTCCTGCCTCAGCCTCCCAAAGTGCTAGGATTACAGCATGAGGCACGACGCCCAACTCTATGTTTAAAAACTAGGCTTTGAAATTTCATTTCCTCCAAACTGAGACCTTATCGTCATGGCAGTAAGGGGCATATTTATCTGATGATTTCAAGAGAAATTAAGAAAATATGTAAATTATCCTGACCGTACTTCTTTTTTTAAAGATACCTGATTGATTCAACTTTTTGTTTATAAGAACTAAGTCATTGCATTTTAGGAGAATTGTCATTGGCAAGTTTAATAACGGTTGTATATTGAGTATGTTGATTCCAAACAACAGAAATTAGCTCTGGCTAACTTGGGCAAAAAGGAGCATATTGGGAGGACATAGGAGGTCTGTGGAGTTGGTAGGAGACTACCAGCTGGAGGCAGTCTGGAGGCCAGGATGTGGGGCTCCCACAGCAGGAGGTCCCTCAGCTAGAACAGGAGCTGTCTAGCCAGGACACTGCTGCCCCTGAGACGAGTGACCTTAAGCCATTCACCTACTTGCTGTAGATCAAGCATTCCAGGAGGGTCTCATTGGCTGAGCTTAGATCACATGGCCACTGTTCGGCTCTACTGGGGAAGGAGTGGGAGGATCCAGCCAACCCTGGTAGCTGATATCCTTGTGAGTGGCCTTCACCAAGGATTACACTCCCTCCAAGACTAGGAGGAGAAAGGGTGAAATTGCCTAAAAGGAGGGAGAATAGGGATGGATTCTAGGTCACATCCCCACACAGAAAAGATTTTTTTAGCAGTGGTATTGTTCATTTTTATTATGAGCGATTTTGTGTACATTAGAATATCATTCAATCATCGTAGAACTATGAGCTGAGAACGTTTGCACAGGGAATGCTGCCTTAGTGCATCTGGAGTGCTTTAAATTTTCACTGTAAGCTCAGAGGAAGCTGATTTACTCATCTGAAAATATTGAGTGACAGTCTCAGAACTCATCGTAGGTCTTCTAACATACAATATAGTGGATTTTCCACTATCCCACCCTACATTTGATCTGGTCTGTCTCAGTTTTGGCTGATTTTTCTTACAGGTTACATAAGGACAGGCTCAATCTGTCTGGCTCAAACTCAGGACCGGCTGATCTCCCTGAAGCGCATCAACTCAAGGCTGAAGTACGTAAGAGGGTAGAAGCCTATTCCAACTTTACCAAACTGACCTCTGCCAAAGGACCAGTGAGTGTCATTTTCCCCTTGTGTTCTGTGACAGTGTCATAGGCATCCCTTCTGAGATCATCTCTCCCAAGAAAGTGGCTGAACTTCACCCTTTCCTAAACGTGCACGACCTGGTGGGAGCCATGCATGTTCCTGAGGACGCGGTGGTGTCCTCTGCAGATGTGGCTCTTGCCCTGGCAAGTGCTGCCTCCCAAAACGGTGAGCAGGTTTTTGCATTTTCTTAAGATGAGTGGGGAAGGAAGAGGTTGTCTAAGAAAGTCTCTCAAAATAGGCAATGACATCAACTCAAGTTTGGAAAAAATATTCTCATTGGGGTATTCAGCTTCCATTTTTGAATACTGGGTCTTACAATTTTCTTTTCTATAACATCTGTTAATAATTATTTTTCCTCAGGGTGACATTTTTAAAGTTCCCAGGAACTGCCTTTAGTGCTGCTTAATATACTTCAGACTTAAGGGAATTCCCCCTCCCCCCAGGACTTGAGAAGCTCCAACATGAGAACATGCCTCGGGGGCTTTAATCCACAACTTGAATCATGACCCAGTGTTGGAATGAATGAGAGGAAGACTTATTAGTGTCCAGGGTATTATATTCTTTGGATAAACTGATTCATGATGTGGTTAGATTAGGATTTAAAATGCCCTACTTGAATTCTCTCCTTCCTGCCCCATATTTTATGATTCCTAGAATTTAATTATTGTGTGCTAACGTCTCTTTTTAAACTGACCTGATATTTTCAATCTTGGGCAAGGATCATTTACATAGTCTCAGGATGTGGTTCCTAGAGATTTTTTGTTTTTTTTTTTTTCTTTTTTTAAATTAGAGCATCAACCTAACTTTGTCAGTGTTTGTTTGGGTGGAGAATCTGCTGTAGATGCCTTAGTTCTGGAACATCAGATGATGCATCAACTCTTTCTTTACCTTGGAACAGGTGTTCAGATCTATGACCGGACAACTGTTCTTCACGTAATGGTCAAAAAAGGTCAAGTTACTGGTGTGGAGACAGATAAAGGACAGATTGAATGCCAGTATTTTGTCAACTGTGCTGGTCAGGTAGGTTAGCACCAGCACTAGGGTGCTGATTTTCTTATTTAACTTTTGTCTCCAGGATTTTTTGGTGTAGAGACATAATATTGTGACTGACTGATAAACAAACATCAGGAACTATCCTGTTTCTTGTTTGGACCAGAAAACTCAGAATTCTTGTATGGTATTCTAAATCATAAACTCACACTTATTCCTCAAATAGAAGCATTTATGACCTTTTCCTTCCTGCACACTGGGTTAATTGGTATTGTTCTAGTCAGGAAGGCCAGCAGACGGTGAGGCATCGCCGTGAATCCTTGGCGGTGGGTCTTGGTGTTACATTTAATTCTGCAACCTAACAATAAAATATTAGGCCATTTTATTGTGTCATGAACATGGATTCAGGATCTAGAACACTAATATAAGTCTCTTCTACTTCTAAGGTAGATTTGTTCATTGCCTTCCACTCTACAGTCTTAAAGTGCCTTAGGAAATACTTCTTGCCATGTGAAGTTCCTTTAATGATTGGTATTTGGGGTTTATAGTTGAGGCCAGGCATTTTATTAAGAGGACCTCCTTTGGTTCCCATGAGCTCTTTTGACTAGCTGGTAAATCTTTCTTTGATCTAAAAGTAATTTTTATGGTTTAAAAAGTATAGTGTTGCTCCCCCTCCAAATAATCAAACTAAAGCAGGCTGAAACTTGACTTCCCACACCTGACATTGTAGCAAGAGCACACTTAAGCCACTTGAAATTAAACTCTTTTCAAGAGGCTGAACTTGCTCATTTGTATTTCTGTTCCTCTTCCCACCCACAAATAAATCTGTCCATTTGTAGTGGGCATACGAGCTGGGTCTGTCCAACGAGGAGCCGGTTAGTATCCCGTTACATGCCTGCGAACACTTCTACCTTCTGACTCGCCCCTTGGAGACCCCTCTGCAGAGCAACACACCAAGTGAGGACTTGTACTTTTTTTTTTTTAATCTTGTTTCCTTGCCAATACCCTGTCCTCTGAAAAGGAAGACTTTCTACTAAGGACAGACTGTGCCTGAAAGAGCCTTTTCATTTCTGGAGCATGTAATAGGGAGGTGGACCCAGTTCTAACTTTTCTTTAATGTAAGTCTTTATGAAAGGACGGCCAGAATGGTCATTCCACTAAGCAGTTTTTTATTTTTGTTTTTTGCAAGCTAATTTTAGTCCTAAACAGAGGTCATTGAGAATATTGAAATGTAACCTTAAGTTTTTAACTTGAATGCTATAAATTGTAGAAATGTCATGACTATAAACTTAGGTGGGTTAGTGGCTCCAAATGCTGTAGGAGAGAGTTTTGATAGCATTTTGATGGTCTTAATACCTAGAATGGGCTCTCCAATCCCCCTTTCTGTTAGACTTTAGCTTGGCACAGTTGCGGTTATGTAGTTTGGTTCTGAGGACTAGTCAGAGCTTCTAGGGAACTAATAAGGTTAGGGATAATTAGAGAAACAGTGTCCACTGTAAGTCTGAGTGGGAGGATCCTCCCCCATGATCTTGAAAGGTGGTTTAAAGCTAATGAATGCCTGTGCGCGTTGGATGCTATTTCATTAACAGAGCCATTAATGGGTGTTTTTTGTTTGTTTCTTTTTCTGTCCACTTAGAAAGCTGGCTTGCCTCTAAACCCTCTTGTTTTTCCTCTACTCCCCATTCCCTTGTTATTTCTCTTCCTTAGCTGTTGTGGATGCTGATGGAAGAATCTATATTCGGAACTGGCAGGGTGGCATCTTGTCTGGGGGCTTTGAGAAGAACCCAAAACCAATTTTCACTGAGGGCAAGAATCAGCTGGAGATTCAGAATCTACAGGAAGACTGGGATCACTTTGGTGTGTGAACTAGATTATAACAATAATGCCTTATATTTGTCTAAGATGTTACATTGTTCAAAGCATCTTCAGTGGCTCACTCCTGTAATCCTAGCACTCTGGGAGGCCGAGGTGGGAGGATTGCTTGAGCTCAGACTTTCAAGACCAACCTGAGTGAGAGCAAGACCCAGCTCTACTTAAAAGAAAAATGGAAAAATTAGCCAGGTGTCATGGCGAGCATCTGTAGTCCCAGCTACTCTGGAGGCTGAGGCAGGAGGATCACTTGAGCCCAGGAGTTTGAGGTTGCTGTGAGCTATGATGATGCCACTGCAGTCTACTTGGGGCGACAGAGCAAGATTCTATATGTGTCTCCAAAAAAAACAAAAGGCATTTCAAGAATGATTCCTTGTTTAATGTTTATAACAACCCCATGCGGTACAACAGTGGTTACAGAGAGTGGTCTACAGCATTTGCCTGGTCTAAGGATGCAGTTACTGATTAGACAATTCAGGGAACTGAAATCTTGGTGAATAGACTTTTGGTTCATTATTTATTTACCTAAAATCATTGCTGCAATTTTAGGTTAAGGGGAGACCTTCTTTTGGTAGGACTTTATGTTAAATTGAAGAGCTCTTTAGAAAACAGAATTGTTCACTTTGGGAGGCTGAGACAGAATCATTTGAAACTGGGAGTTTAAGACCAGCTTGAGTAAGTGTGAGACTGTCTCTACAAAATATAAAAAAATTAGCCAGGTATGGTGGCACATGCCTGTAGTCCCAGCTACGCAGTAAGTTGAGGCAGAAGGATTGCTTGAGCCCAGGAGTTTAAGGTTGCAGTGAGCTATGATGACACCACTGCACTCCAGGCTAGGTGACAGAGTGAGACCCAGTCTCAAAAAAAAAAAAGAAGAAGAAGAAGACAACAATTGTTTTGTTACTGTAGTAATTCGTTAAAAATTTATTTTTTTGGCCATGCTAATCTTCTCTGTATCATTCCAATTTTAGTATGTGTGCTGCTGAAGCGAGCACTAAAATTTTAAATAACTGTTATTACTATTTTTTTTTTTTTAGAAAGAGTCTCACTCTGTTGTCCAGTTTAGAGTACAGTGGTGCAATCATAGCACACTGTGACCTCGAGATTCTGGGCTGGAGTGATTCTCCTGCCTCAGCCTCCTGAGTGATAGGGACTACAGTCGCGCACCACCACACCCAGCTAATTTTTAAACATTTTTTGTAGAGATGAGGTCTCACTGTGTTACCTAGGCTAGTCGTGAACTCCTGGGCTCAAGCGATCCTCCTGCCTGGCCTCCTAAAGTGCTTGGGATTACAGGCGTGAGCCACTGCGCTGGGCTAATAACTTTTTTAAAAACAACTTCGTTTATCGAATAAGATAGTCACATGATTCTAAATTCAAAAGATGTGGAAGGATCTCTAATGAAGAATTTTCCTTTCACCCTTGATGGGCTTTCTTTTTTTAAATAAACTTCTTATTATGGCAAATTTCAAACTTAAAAGTGGATAGAGTAGTGTGATGAACCCCATGTACCCAACATCCAGCTCCAGTCTGGTTTCATCTGTTACCGCTGTCCCACAGGATTATGCCCAGGTGGTGGATTTGCTTTAAAACAGGGTGAGGTTTTGCAGCTACCCCAATGTAGGAGAACATGGCCTTTCATTGAAATCTCTTTGGCTGCTGTCTAAGAGCCTTTCCACTCATGCTGACCCCTTCAAGATGATAATCTGTAACCACACGTATTACTTGATATTCTGTAGCTCCTTTCCTTTCTACAGAGTGTCTTTTTTTTCTCAGTCTTTATGCCAAGCATTTTCCAGGTTATAATTCCACCAAGCTTTCTGCTTTCTGATAAATGGCCCAGTTGACTCTTCTCAGAAAAATGTCTTCCAAGAGATTTTCTGAAAAGAGAGGGGGTACAAAGTAGAAGAGGTTGAAAGTTTGTTAATTCCTTAAAAGTGAGAACTCTGTTTGGGTTTATTTTTATCACTCAGAGCCCCTGTTGAGTTCCCTCCTGCGTAGGATGCCCGAATTAGAGACTCTGGAGATCGTGAAGTTGGTGAATTGCCCTGAGACCTTTACACCAGACATGAGGTGCATCATGGGCGAGTCTCCAGTGGTGCAGGGCTACTTCGTCCTGGCGGGAATGAACTCTGCTGGCCTTTCCTTTGGTGGAGGAGCTGGGAAGTAAGTCTTGCTCACTCAGAGTTGGCTATGAACATACGTCAGCTTGCTGGGCTTCCCTTCTAGAATTACTTGTTAATATGGTATATAATACATTTAATCTAGTGTGTTAGTAATAATAGGATACATGTAATTTAAGAGTCGTCCCTTTCAAAGTCTGGGAAGCTATCCCATGTCACAGAAATGTCATTGTGCAAAATGTTTTGGAACTCCTCTTTTGGAGTTAGCCACAGAGCCTATGGGATGTTCTTTGGTACTTTTTCAGTTGTAACAAATGTTGGTCCTCAGAGTGTGTATTTGAGTTTGGAAGTAGCCTAGTGTATTGAATGAGGTAGGTGATCAAGCTGGGTAGTACAAATTTTTATTTAAAAATTAAATACTAATAAAAAATAAGTCAGTCACAAAAGGACAAATACTGTATGATTCCACATATATGAGGTACCTAGAATGGTCAAATTCATACAGACACAAAGAACAGTGGTGGTTGCCAGGGGAAGGGGCAAGTGGGAAGTTATTGTTTAACAGGTACAGAGTTTTGGTTTTACAGGACAAAAAGAGTTCTGGAAGCCAGGCGTGGTGGCTCACACCTGTAGTCGTAGTGCTTTGGGAGGCCAAGGCGGGAGGATTACTTGAAGCTAGGAGTTCAAAACTAGCCGGGGTGACATAGTGAGACCCCATCTCTACAAAAAATAGAAAAATTACATCCATGTAACAAAAAACAGTTATACCCCCTAAATCTATAGAAGTGAAAGAAAGAAAGAAAAGACAGATTAGCTGGGCGTGTTGGCTCTTGTCTGTCATCCCAGCTACTTGGCAGGCTAAGGCAAGCGGATCACTTGAGCCCCGAGGAGTCTGAGGTTGCAGTGAGCTATAATGATGCCACTGCACTCCAGCCTGGACAACAGAGTGAGGCCCTGTCTCAAATAAAAAAGAAAAAAAAAAAGAGTTCTGGAGATAGATGGTGGTGAGGGTTATATAACAGTGTGAATGTACTTACTACCACTAAACTATACTTGTAAAAATGGTTAAGATGGTAAATTTTATGTAATATGTATTTTAACACAATTAAATTTTTTTTAAATTAGTGAGGCCAGTTTTCTTAAGTGACTTGTAGAATGGCTCTGAAAACAGTTGCAGAAGAGGAGTTACCAAAAACATTTGGAGCAAAGGAGATGTCTTCAGATAACTATGTAATCTCCCAAGAAGACTGTCTTACAGAAATAACCTCTTGGGTGTATAAATTAGAGTACATTTCTGTGTGTGTTTTAGTCCTATTTCTTCATAAATGTCACTTATATCTTAACCACTTTCTAGGGAATCTTACCATTAGAGCAAAAATCCTCGTAGTGGTCTTGTGAGAGCCGTACATGGAACCATGTTTGTTTCTTCCAAAAAAGTTAAGGGAATTGCCCAGAATTGTTTTAACCAGTCTGTGACAATATACATAGGATCTTTTGATTCTGTTGATTCTTGATTCATAGAGCATTGCTTTTATCCTTCTTAATATTCTGTGTGAGGCCCAACAACCCTGACCCCTCGTCTAAACAGGTACCTCGCTGAGTGGATGGTGCATGGTTATCCCTCAGAAAATGTCTGGGAATTGGACTTGAAACGTTTTGGAGCCCTCCAGAGCAGCCGTACCTTTCTGCGCCACCGGGTCATGGAAGTTATGCGTAAGTGAAGCTTTATCCCAGTTGGTGTCTTTCTCCTGGCCTGTTTTGTCATTTAGAGGGGGCAGATTTTTCCTCAGTATTTTAATAATGACTTTGACATGGACTCCTGATGTTTGACTGTTCCAGTCCTGAGCAAGGGGCTTTATGCTCCACATGGTATTTACAGAACATTTTCTTTGGCATATCGTGCTTTGTTTACTTCTGGGAACAAGAAAGTGGAATAGAATTTACAGGTAGCATGTGGCAGCTTCCTGTATATTCCTAGTGGTGCCTCCTTTCCAGTTTGCCTTGAAGGACCCTATATCAAAGTGAATGTTCCCTCACTCCCCACTTGATTTCTGAGATCCCTGTTTTCTTTCCAAGGCAGAGAATTTGCCAAGTTATGCTCAAAGCTTCAGGCTTCTCTGAGTGACTTTCATCATTAATCCATCATAGACTAGCAAAATAGGAAACTGCTTCTCGCATGTAAATACAAAACATGCATTTCTGCTCTCATTCCCCTTGTTCTTGCTTCCCTCCAACTTTGAAGGATTGGCCTCTTCCTTTTTTTTTTTTTTTTTTTAAGACTTTCAGGCCCAGTGTTTATTATATAAAATTGTTTATATTAACAGTGGGAGGGTTTAAGACAAAAACACAAATGAAATAAAACATGAAGTTTGTTGCATAGAAACACTGACAACATGGCTATGTCCTTCTATAATACAACCCACAAAACATACATTGTCAGAAACACCCCCTTCTTCACATTTTAGATTTCATTCATCCAATAATCATTTTCTGAGCATCTTCTACATGCACGGCCCTGCACTGATAGGTGCTGGGGACACAGTAATGAACAAAATTAAGTCCGTGCTCTCATGAAGCCTCTGACTCTCGCGTGGGGGAAGACAGACACCAAACAAGACAAATATACATCGTAACATGTCAGACAGTCATAGGATTACCAGGGGAGGGTATGGAGAGGAGGGACGCTTCCGTCCACCCTCAACTCCTTAGGAGCAATTTGAGGCTGCTTTAAATGTCATAGTTTCTTTTGGGGGGAAAGATACAAACTCTAAATTATATTTTTAAAGTAACTTTTTTGGAGATTGCAAATTTCTGGCCATACCCTTAAAGTTCATACTTCCGAGCAGCATTTCTAATTTTCTAATTAGAATGTATACTAGTAAGTACTTTATGGCCATACTAACGGAATAAAGCCCACATTGTGTGTGTGTGTGTGCGTGTGTGTAGGTGTACATATACAGACACATATATACATCTGTGTGTGCTTATAGGCCCATGTCACTTACATATACACATGAATATTAATGCATACATATGAACGTTAATAGGTACTACATATTAATATAACATTTCTGGCTCTAAAGGCCTCTTCCTTTTAACTTAACTTGTTATTCTGCCTTGTCTGATTTATTTTCCAGTAAGCCCTTAGGAACAGCTTTTATATCAGGAATTGAACCAAATTATATAGGTTCTGATGGGATATAATTTCGTTTCCTATACTGAGGAACTGTTCTGTGACTTTGCCAAGTGATATCTAAGTATTTGGGGCATGTTTATGCTCAAGACTAAGTTTCTACATTGGCTGTGACCATTCATGGTTACAAATTAAATATTGGTTTCGTAGCTGGATGACATTCATGGTGGTCTAGACCTTTGAATTGCCTTTAATGCCGGAGTGCTCACTTTTGGCCTGTGGCAGAGAACTTACATCCGTGAGAGAAGAAGGACCTAGCAGCAGTGAGTCTAACTGCTGAGGTTGTGAAATTTTAGCAAATATTTTGGCTACAATGTTGACAGGATTGCAAGTCTAGATTTCCCCAGCCATAGTTACTTTAGAACCTCCTTGGTGATATGACACTTTTGGTGGCCTTCTCTGAGTCTCCTAAAGTACAAATTGCAGGCATGATAGAAAATGGGGAAGGGGAAAGTAGAACCTAAAGTACCAGGAGGTTGAAATTGTCACAATGCAAGGAACCCAGTGTAGCTTTCTTCTGCATCTCCCAGCCTCCCCCACCTTGATGTACCTTTTGTTAGAATGGTGTGAGGTCACGTCTTCTCTTCGGAAGGGACTAGAGATCGCTCTCTTTCTGGCTTTTTTTACTTATTGCTGTTACAGATTGGACATTAAGAGAAATGAATTCTGACCCTAGCTTTGTTATGTGAATAATGTCATTGGGACAATACAGTGCAACCTCTCAGATTTCAGAGCCACCAAATCAAGGTATGATACATACCCTTTCACTTCAGAAATGGGTTAAGTATTAGAGAAGAGATGTCTTTAACAGGTCTGAGATCCTAACAACACAGGTGCTGTGAAGAGTCAAATGCCACTTTTTCCACACTTTGTTCCCACCTGTGTCCCACTATATTTACCTGTGGAGCTTAGCAAGGTTTAGAACTATGGCCTTTCTCCCATTGTTTCTATCTACTAATTTGAAACTATAAAAGTGAAAAAGGACTGAGAGTCATTTTGTGACTCATAGCTGTATAACTTTATGGAGGGATAATACCAGCTCTTGTAATATTGTCCTTTCTTCTGGAGCATGCCTGTTATACTGGGTAATATTTGACAAATTAGGCTCTATCAGCCTGGAAATTATGCTCTTTTGAATAGGAACAACTCCAGAGTCTACTGGATGTTGGATACTCAGCTCTAAACTCTGTTTCTTGGGCTTTGATAGACTGCTCTCATCTGTTCTAGCTCTGATATATGACCTGAAGGTTCCCCGTTGGGACTTCCAGACCGGTAGGCAGTTACGCACATCTCCTCTCTATGACCGGTTAGATGCACAAGGGGCCAGATGGATGGAGAAACATGGGTTTGAGAGGCCAAAGTACTTCGTTCCACCTGACAAGGGTAAGTGACGTTCTCGTTTGAGTTCATTTTTTTTTTGTCCTGGGAATTAATAAAATTTATTTTTAAATGCATAAGCTAGAATGTGTTCCTGGAAGAATAAGTGATAAAAACCTGTTAGACTGTACTAAACCATACAGGGACACACCCCAGTCCCCTCCTTTTCTCTCTTCCATAGACCTCCTGGCGCTGGAGCAAAGCAAGACTTTCTATAAGCCAGATTGGTTTGACATCGTGGAGTCTGAAGTGAAGTGCTGTAAGGAAGCGGTGTGTGTCATCGATATGTCCTCTTTCACAAAGTTCGAGATAACGGTAAGTATTGGGGAACCAAATAATAGATTAATTATTTATTAAATGCCTCCTGTTGTTCATCTGTCACTTCAAAACCAATTCCTTAAGAATTTTGGTGTATTTTAGTGTTTTGTCTGTATTTTAACATTTTTTAGCTCCTTGTTTCTTGATTTTAATTTGCCTAGCGTGGCCCATTTATCATAAGAGTCAATAGCCAGCTTTCCCTGGAGCTTCTCATTGTAAAGTAAATCTACAAATATTGCCACATGGGTGCTGGCTCATTGAATTTTCTCAGCAAGGCTCATTGCTAGTTGGGCCATGTTACCTGGCTGAGCGCTCTTGTGCTTACTCTCTCTGCATCCTTCTCTAACCCTGCAGTCCACGGGGGATCAGGCATTAGAAATTCTGCAGTACCTCTTCTCCAATGACCTGGATGTGCCCGTGGGCCACATTGTGCATACCGGCATGCTCAACGATGGTGGAGGGTATGAAAATGACTGCAGCATAGCGCGACTGAGCAAGCGCAGGTGAGGTTAGCTGCCATCCCGCTCTGCTCGCTCCAACATGCTGATTCCTTAAGGCTGCTGTAGCAGAACACCTAATATTCTTCTCTGGGAAACCATAGTTATCCCAGGGACTAAAAAACCATTTCTTGAACTCACAGCCAGTTCATTAGCCGCCCTAAACAGAAAGAAATCACCAGGAAAAGAAAAAGAAGAAGAAACCCACTAGCTTAGGTAAAACTAGAGTTGAAGAGTTAGTTACCCTACTGAGAGACGATGCCTTGTCTTATATTAGTGTGTCTGTTTAATGTCTTGGCACTAACGGGAAACCAGAATTTTCTGTTTTGTCTTTATGTGGTATGTCCTAGAATGGTGCTACTGGCCCTCCCTGAAGGCTAAGAGATCGTTTCCCAGTATTCTCCTCATTGCTTTGAAACTGGTTGAGAACTTGATTGCTTCGTGATCCTTTTCCTGCCGCCTGGTGTTGATTATTTTGGGCTCTCACTTTCAGTTTCTTCATGATCTCTCCAACTGACCAGCAGGTCCACTGCTGGGCCTGGCTTAAGAAACACATGCCACAGGACAGCAACCTGCTTCTGGAAGATGTCACCTGGAAATACACTGGTAAGGGGGCCTTCTGGGGTCAGCCGAGTGAGAAAAACCATCAGATCCAGATGGCTTCTACATTTTCCTTTGTTACATATGACTTTCAAAAATGAATGTCAGAGGTAGTGGACAAGAGACTTGCTGGTCATAGAAGACTGACCTCTAACACTTTCTCGCTTTTTATAAGGGAGGTGTGAGATGAGTTAGTGCTTTGGCTTCTGTGTGGTGTTCTCTTTTACATCCCCTACAGCAAGCATGTAGGAGTTCAAGTGTTTGTTGAATGAATAAAAAAATTTTTAAAGTATTTTTTTATCTATTACCTAAGTAATATTTTCTTCAAAATTTCTATGTATCATTTTTTTTAATGAGTACATAATTTTTAAGGATGACTTAATTTTGTGATTATCTCTTCCTCACCAGCCCTGTTGGGGAGCAGCCCCTTCTCTTCCACCTCCCCATTGCAGGTTTAGCCCCCTCCACCCTTCCTCCCTGCCACCTACCTAATTCCTACCCCCTCTGCCCCACCAGCATTTACTCTTCCAGGCCCTCATTCTCACTTCCTTGGAGTGATTAACTTCTTGCTACCAGGTTGGCAGAATCTTCCAGAACAAAAGTTGTGTTCTAACCTGTATTAGAGTGGTTGATGGGTAATTAGCACAAGCTGCTGTCACAGGCATCAGAGTGGGGGAGGGGGGTGGGCAGCTCTTCTCCAGATGCTGATTTGGGACTGGGCCTTCTTCCATCACGTAGCCACGCTGGGAAGAAGAAGAGAAAGGGAATTGTGTAAGGGGAGGTATGGCCAGTCCTGGAAGTAGCCTTGTGTCCCATTGGCCAGGACTTGGTCTCATGATCCTAACCTAACTGCAGAGGGTGCTGTGGAGTGTTGTCTTCCTGGGTACCAGGGAGAGGTAGCATCTTCCCAGGCGCTCTCACGCCAGCACAGTCAGTTGCATCCAGCAGGCCTGTCAGCAGAGGTGTATTTGCCGGAATCGGGGTGCTTGGCGTCCATCCCTGGATTGCCTAAGCAAAGGGACACTTTGGTGGTCTTAGCACCCAGGCCTGGTGGGCAAGTCCAGAACAGACCTTTCCCACTGGCTCAGCCCTTCACCTGGAGAGGCTAGTGATCTCTCGTTCTTTCCTGTTTAGCCCTCAATCTGATTGGCCCTCGCGCTGTGGATGTGCTGTCGGAGCTGTCCTACGCCCCTATGACTCCAGACCACTTCCCAAGTCTCTTTTGCAAGGTGGGTGCTAGTCAAGTTCTGTTTTTCAAATGGGCAGAGAACATTTCTTTTATAGTGGCGGCAGTTACATATTCTTACTGTGGCATTAACACCCATGAAGAGTATTCTAACCTTTATCAGGCAAACGAAATGACCAAGTAAATTTATTTTTCACCCTTCAAGCCTCCTTATTTGATAAGCATTAGGATACCTTTGAAGTGAATGTAGCTTCAGTGAAGGTCAAGTCTGTATATTTACTGGTTTCTGTAGCAGTAGATCAAAATTTTCGGTTCCAGGATTATGACACTGACACCACAAAGTGCCATTCGAGGTCAGGCCCCTTCTCTCCATTCAGTGCGTCCTCTTTTTTATACACAGAGTAACTTCTGTGTATGTGGCATCTTGAGGGAGGAAATGGTGTAGGTGAATTCCTAATCAGTTTAAATAATTTTCTTTCCTATAAGTGGCTACTATAACTAAATGAAGTACACTGTAACTGAATAAAAGCAGTGATAACTGAATTCTCTCCAGGAAGCAGTTCAGAAGCAGATTAGCGAGGTCCAAACTGATACTTTGGCAACCTGTAACCAGCACCTTCCACACAGTTACTGACGGAGGCTCTTTGAAGTTCAAACCAAAGTTGGGATCCACTTGCAAATTATTTTACAGCTTTCCTTCTCCAAAGCAAAGTGAAAGCAACAGAAAAGTCTCTGTTGTTTGCTGTCAGCAGACCCCTTCACAGTGTCCCTGCTGCTTCTCGAAGGAGCGATCCGTACGCTTGCGCCTGGCGAGTGCCAGCCATGGGGGCTTCCTATGGAAGCAGTTTGCTACCGTGCTATCTGGGACTTTTCACTTTCCGTTATAGGAATGACCATTGCCTCAGTGGCCCCCGTTAGGGAACTGAGCTGCTGGCACATGTTTCAAAAGTTAGAAGCCGGGTCTTTGTCCCACAGTAGCAGGTGAATCATGTCTGTGGGCATCAGGCATTATCTTCCGTGTGGCACATGGCCAGGATTTGTCTGCAGAGTCCCTCAGAGAAGACACTTGCCTGGTCTTCGTTGCTCCTGAGACCTCTGACTAACACAGTCTTTAGCAAAGAGACTTTACAAAGAGAAATATTTTGTGCTTGTCAAAGACTTGGCCTCCACTTTCCACCACCGACTTGCCTAAAACTCCTGAAGTGGTGACGTCATAGGTGAGAAGAGGTGTTACAGCGGCTCAGTGCCCCTCAGCGCCCCTCAGCACCCGGAACCAGACCGTTTTCAGGACGAAATTCTTTCATTGGCATGTATCTCCTTGGAGGTCAAACAGAGGGTGCAGCGTGAATGAGGGGGTTTCCCTCAGGCAGTCAGAGTCCCCATGCTGACTTGGTCCCTTTGTCTCTGCAGGAGATGAGCGTGGGCTACGCAAATGGGATCCGGGTGATGAGCATGACTCACACAGGAGAGCCGGGATTCATGCTTTACATCCCCATAGAGGTGAGATAGGGAAGGCTCGCCTGTCTTCCTGTCCCTGAGCTGCCAGGAGGTGTGCTGGCTCTGCCAGACCCGCACTGGCGGGTTTGAGAGCTGTATCTGATGGGGCCCTGGGGACTGAGGTAGGCTGCATTGAAGAGATTGTACAACTTTTCAGTAAATTATTTGATGTCTTTTGAATAGATTATATATTTAAAAAGTATGCAGTGCCACCTAACCAGTTCTCACCAACTACCACCAATGACATTAGTATTATTTTTATATGTCACATCAGATTTTTAGGCACATGAAAACAAATTCACAGACATATTCTTAGCCCCCTTTTGAAAAACACCAATGGCAGCTTACTGCTGTTCTTCATGTGATTTTTTAATTTCAGTTAATAATTTATCTTACAAATCTTTTTGTGTTGGCGCGATCTTTTTTTTTTTTTTGAGACAGAATCTCACTCTGTCACTCAGGCTGGAGTGCAGTGGCACAATCATAGCTCACCGCAGCCTCGAACTCCTGGGCCCGAGCAGTCCTCCTGGCTCAGCCTCCTGAGTAGCTGGGACTACAGCCATGTACTACCATGCCTGGCCCCATGCCTTGCTGTGTTACTGAGGCTGGTCTTAAATTCCTGGCCTCAAGTGATCCTCCCTCTTCAGCCTCCCAAAGTTCTGGGGTTACAGGTGTGAGCCAGTGCATCTGGCCTTTAAGAGACATTTTAGAGAAATGAAAAGATGTGGACCCTGCTTTGATGGAGTTTATAGTCTGGCTTGGGGTGACCCCAGCTCATTATTCCTGGGCCGTAGTGCCTGGTTCATTGAGGATGAGATGTCCTGGGAGTCGTATATAGCCTTCTCCCTTGTCCATGTTAATAACGTGAGCCATCAGCACTGGTGGACACATTATGGGTTTAATTCTGAAGGTAGGCTGGTAACTACCCTTTCATCTCTCCCTGCAGTATGCCCTGCATGTATACAATGAAGTGATGAGTGTTGGGCAGAAATACGGAATCCGGAATGCTGGCTATTATGCCCTTCGCAGTCTCCGAATAGAGAAGTTTTTTGCCTTCTGGGGTCAGGATTTAAATACCCTCACCACGCCTCTTGAATGTGGACGAGAGTCTCGCGTGAAATTAGATAAGGTACCGTGTTTATCCAGACTCCTGTCTGTCATTCAGCTCCTAAGTAGTGAACTCTGCACTGGAGTAGGAAGAAGAGCTGATACAACAGGAAAAGTGTGGAAAGATTGAGGCCTCAGTGAGAGCATCAGGTGAATAATGAGGATTCAG